GCGGTCCCCGCCGAGCCCGACAATACCCCGCCGGCGCGCGAGTCCTCCCTGCACTTACGCAGAAAGGTCACCGCGGCCCGCGAGACATCGAGATCAGCGGAGATGCGTTTAACTTTATCCCGCAAGTCCCTGTTGGAGACCTCTAGGAGCGCCACTCGGTCCGGATCCCGGAGCGCCACTCGGTCCGGAGCAACCCTCTCCGCACCCCTCATGGCGCGATTTGCCAAGAGGAGGCAGGCCTCCCTGGCTAAATGAATGGCCATTTTTAGTTGGCCACTCAGAGAGCCCTTCATTGCGGAGACCGACCTCACCCGGGCAGCCTCCGCCTCTGACAGCCAGCTCTCGACCTTGGAGGCGACATCCAGAACAGAGTCTGTCCCTAAGGCCGCGACCTGGCGGTCTACCTCGCGACGCTGGTCCGGGGTGAAAAAAGAGGACGAGGGTATGTGGACCCGCCTAATTGGCTGGTCCAAACCCCCGTCCTCATCCCCCGAACTAATCCTTCTCAAAACGCGGCGCGCCCTAAAGGCCTCCACAGGAACCCCCCGCACCCGCGTTTCTATCGAAGCATCCGACTCAATAGAGGGAGACCGAAATAGGCCGGAACCGTCCAGCCTTGGTCTCCCTCTCCCGCGTCTCCCCGATCGTAGGGGCCGAAGCGGAATCGCCGAGAGGGGCCCGGATTGCTGAGGAGGAGGTCCCAGGAACCCCCTCCGAATCATCTTCGTCCGTGAGGGTGACCACGATGTCACCCTCATCCGACGACGCCCCGCCCTCCTCCATTCCCCCCCCGCGTCAGAGCCGGAAGCACCGCCGCGGACCCTGATGGGAGTAACCCCACCAGGCCCCGCGACGGACCCTCAGCGACGAGGGGAACCGCCATAACAGCGTCATAGTCAATGTCGCTCTCTACGAGGATCTTGTTGATGCCCGAGCCGGCCGTCCCCACAAAGGGACGAACAGCCCGAGCATCGTTAACCGCGCTATATGGGAAAGCCACTAGAGCCCCTCCCCACCCACGCACCTCCATGAAAGGAGGCACATGGGGAGAGTAGCCCCGGAGGCTCCCCGCGCATAACTCCCTGCGAGAGCATCTGCCCAGAGGCCCGTCTATAATGACGTCCATGACATCGACAAACCTCTGGGCCTTCAAGACAATCACCTCCCCCTCTTTAAGGGAGGGGGGGTATTCCCGTAGTTCGGAGTAGCAGGGCGGCGCC